CATGGAGTTCATAGGATTTAAACTAGGATAGATGTTAGAGACAATTTCCTTATTTTACAGATGAGAAAACTGAGTCTGGAAGGTTTTAAGTTGCTTTCCCAGTGTTTCATATGTGTCAGTGGTGGAGGGGATTTGATATAGGTCTCCCTACCCAGGGCTGTTTCCCTGTGCCACCTGCACGCCGCTTCTATACATTGTCTCTAATTCACTCTTGCCTTTTAGTGCTGTTAACAGAGAAAGACACTTTGCCTGTGAAGATTGTAGTGGAAATGTCAGTGGAGGTTTTGATGCTTCAGTGTCTCAGGTAGGCATTTTTGCTACTTTCTTTCCTTCAGTTCTCCTGATGTTTGCTGAGGGCCTTCTGCATGCCGGGATTCTGTTAGGTAGACTCTGTGTGGGATTGAAAAAATGAATTGGTCATCGTTCTTGCCCTTAAGGAACCTCCACCTTCACAGGGGAGATAAAAGATGAACACAGGTGGGCATGGTTGCCACAATGGGACAGTGATATGGTTGACTGAAAGATGCCAACAGGTTCAGCCAGAGGATATAAAGCCTCTTCAGGGCAAGGAAGACAAAGACTGCTGCCCAAACAGGGAAGCATGAGCAAAGGTGGCATGCTGGGAAAGAACCAGGTGTGTTTGGGGAATGGTGTGTTGTCCCATTTACTGGAGGACAGGAATGCATGGCAAATACAGGAAATAAGATTGAAAAGAAGGGTAAGCCATATGGTGGCAGGCTTTAAATGCTAAGCTAAAGAGTTTCGCCTTTACGTGGTGAGAACTGATATATACCTTTGAAGATTTTTGATTAGCGGAGTGAGAGTTCTCATCTGTAAAATATGGGTAATGATTGTATCTATTTTATAGAATGGTTAGGAGAATTAAATGAGACATTTCTTGTAGAGTGCTTATCATAGTAAGCACAGCAGCATTCAATACATGTTATTAGTTTTACATCAGAGGGTTTTGAGAGACTCTCGGAGGTGATGGATTATGTTGTGTGATGAGGGTAGATGAAGGTGTTGTAAGTATACTGTTTCTTTGAATATCACCCACATCTAACTGCACCTAATTGTTTCCTGATGGAGAATTTTATATGTATTTTGCTTATTTGTAGCTGTTTCACAGTAATCATGGGAAAAAGCAGTGTAGCACAGGGGCGAGGGTCTGGGCTTTGGAGTCAGATAGACTTGAGTTCAAATTCCAGTTCCCCTGCTCATTAGCTGTGGGCCTGGGTGAGTTATTTGCCTTATTCTCAGTTTCCTCATTTGTAAATTGTAATCACAATACCTACAGTTCTCAAAGTGGGTCTTGGTAAGTTCACTGCCCATCCCCGCACTTTGGAGTTAAATTTAACATGTTGAACTCTCATGTTACTTCTCAGTAGTTTTAAATACAGTGAGCACTCTCTTTTTTGATTTTTTTAACATTAAAATTTGTATTGTGAAGTATCTCATTCATACAGAAAGTGAAAAATCTGTATGCACACTGTCGGCCATAATAAAGAGTGAACACCCGTGTGCTGCCCCCAGATGTGAGAACCAGAGTGTTGCCGGGACTCGGGAAGCCTTGTGCACCTCTAGGGCCACGTTACCTGTCCTTCCTTATCCTGACTTTTGTGGCCATCATTCTCTGCTTTCTGAAGAACTTGGCCATCTATGTATATACCCCAACAGTGTGTTATTTAGTCGTCTGCTCTTAAGGCTTATTCATGGGATACTTTGAGTTACAGGTAATAATTTGTTAGTTTTATGAAATCATATGGCATATAATATTCTGTAACATTTCTTTTGTTCAACATTGAGATCCTTCCATGTTACTATGTATACCTCTGGTTAAATTTAGTTTCATTGTGGGATAGTATTCCATTGCATGTCTATACTGCAGTTTACCCTATCTAATATTGTTTTTTTTCCACCTTCATTATTTTGGACAATGCTGCTGTGAATATTTTTAAACTTTTCTCTCCTGGTGCGCACATGCAAAAGTTACTCCAGGGTGTATGCCTGGGAGTGGAATTGCTGGGTCGTATGTTATGCGTATGTTTGACTGAGCAGGCAGCGCCAGCCACTTTTCTTCCCATGGTGTCTCCCCATTGCTCTCTTCTGGATGCTCTTTTGCTAACTCACTTTTCTCTGTCAGCCCTTAAATGTTGCAGTCCCTTAATCCATGACGTTAGATCCTCTTTTATTTTTTATTTATTTATTTTTAAAGACTTTATTTATTTATTTTAGACAGAGAGAAAGGGAGGGAGAAGGATGGGGAGACAAACATCAGTTGTGGTTGCCTCTCGCACATCCCCTACTAGGGACCTGGCCCACAACCCAGGCATGTGCCCACAATGGGAATTGAACTGGTGACCCTTTGGTTTGCAGGCCGGCACTCAGTCCACTGAGCCACACCAGCCAGGGCAGATCCTCTTTTATTTTTATTTTTATTTTTACTGTAACTCTGCAAAGGGGAACTCATTTATTTTCCTAGCTCAGAGCTCTCTTTTGAACTCCACATCCATATATCCAAGTGCCCACTTACTGCCCACACTTGGGTGTCTTGAAGGTACTCCAGACCTGACTGTCCAAGTCCAAACTGATGATTTTTACCATCCCTGACCCCACTCAACTTGGTCTTTTTATTTTGCATATTTCAGTGATTGGTACCACTATCCATCCTATTACACAAACCAGAAATTAGGGATCATTTTTGATACCTCTGACTCCTTTCCCATATTCTATCCATAACTAAATTTTATCTAATTTGCCTCTGAGAAACCATTTTTGGCTCCCATTATCCTAGCTCATTACTATCACCTCTTGCCCAGAATACTTCATTAGCCTTCAGCTAGTCTCTGCATCCAGTTTTGGTTGTCTTCCGCTTATTTTTCCAACTACAGTCAAAAGATGAAAACGAAATAAAATGAAAGCACCCACCCCCCATTTCACGTCTGCCTTTCAGTTATTTTCTGTTGCTCTCCGGGTAAAGACAAGGTGAGCAGTTACTTGGCCACTGCTGGCCTCACCAGCCTCATCTCTTGCCCAACCCCTCAGACTCTGCTCCAGCAATGGAGGCCTGTTTTTAGCTTCTCAAATGCTCTGTTCCTTCGACCCTCCCCAAACCCTCTGCATAGGTTGTTCTCCCTGTCTGGTGTGCTCCCTTCCCCACTCCTCAAATTTAACTCCCATTCATCCATCAGATCCCAGTTTAAACATTCCTTCTGCAGAGAAGCCTTTCCCAAACCTCCAGACTAGATCAGGCATTCTCATTGTGAGTACTTTTGACAGCCTGGGGTTTGCTTCATGACATCTGTCATTGCATGTATTTAAGGATTTTGGTAAATATTGATTAATTTTTATCTCTGTTAGTAGATTATAAATCTGATAGGTCTCTGTAAGTATTATTTGAGTAAATGGATGTTGAATGAACGCATATGAAATATCTGATATACAAGTATGTCCCAGTGCCGGCACATAGGAAGTACACGCTAAATTGTAACTTGTTATTATGAGGACCCCTCGAATCTTTATTATTCTTGAGAGGGTCCTGCTCAGTGGGCTGTTGGTTTTTTGTACTTCTTTCTGAAGGTCTTTCTGAGGATTTTTCCTGGCAATTCTAACAGAGTGGGACAGTAGTGGTCATTTATTGTCGATTCATTGTTCGTTCAAAAACTTGGTAAGAGGCATTTCACATATATTCTCATTTAATTCTCACAGTTCTATGAGGTAGGTACAATAATTATCTCCTTTTTCATAGTTGAGGAAACTGAGGCACAGGGGGATTAAGAAATTTGTCCCAGGTCACCAAATTAGTAAGGAATGGGGCTAAAATTTGAATCTGCCTGCTTCATTCCAAAGTCCATGCTCTAAATGCAGTGCCTTGGAGTTCAAGATACTGCATTAGTCCAGTGAGGACAGTATGTGAATTAGTGTCCTTAATCTAAGTGCTATTATAGTCCAGAGAGAAGAGAAGGGACAAGTTAGTCATTGGGAAGGCTTAACGGAGCATGTAGTTAAGACTGGGTCTTAATGGATAGGTAGGTGTGGGCTCAGTGGAGAAAAGTGGGTAGAGGTAATACAAGCAGGTAAGTCCCTCGCATGTAAGACAAAAGGTAGAAACCATTAAATGAGAGTAGATTTTAGATGTAACCAAACTTCCCTTCTTTTGGTGCCTCCTAGATTGTTTTGTGCCAGAATAATATCCGCAGTCAGGCCCACATGAACAGAGTGGTCACCCACGAACTCATTCATGCGTTTGACCACTGTCGTGCTCACGTCGACTGGTTCACCAATGTCAGACACTTGGCTTGCTCAGAGGTGAGTTTTATTGTAGAGGAGATTGTTTTTTGTTTTTGTTCTTGCAGAACACTGTGCTTGAACAATTTATTCAAGTCTAAATGACTATTTAAATGTATTCTTTTTCTTACTGTCATAGTTCCATTTTAGTCTTGAATTTCTGTTTCTAATTATTGAATATAATTTTTGAGATACAAGAGATATTTTATCTATTTATTATTATTATTTATTAATCCTTATCAAGGATATGTTTATTGATTTTAGAGAGAGAGGAAGGGAGGCGGGGAGAGAAACATTGATGTGAGAGAGCAAGGTTGATTGGCTGTTTCCTATATGTCCTCTTACTGGGGATTGAATCCACAGCCTAGGTTTGCGCCCTCACCAGGGGTTGAACTCGCAATTTTTTGGTGTATAGGATGACGTTCCAACCAACTAAGCCACCTAGCCAGGGCAATAAGAGACATTTTAATTATTTTTTTAGAATTACATTAAATTTAATCTTTAAATCCTAATGGCAGTGATGATTAACTTTAATTATAATAGTAAACTGCTTCTGACAGAATAAACTATAATATAAGAAAATAAGGATAGTTAACATTCGCTGAGGGCTGCGTGGTACTGTTCTGTTTGTGCATTTTTTAAAGTGAACATATCCCCGGGATTTGTCTTCGTAATAAAACAAAGTATGAAGCTGAGAACTGGATCACATGGCCCTATCTCTTCTTATCTCCTCCCAGTTCAAAATGCTTGCATCTCTTCATAGCCAGCATTCTCTTGGATGTGCAGTTGGGCTTAATGCATTCAAGCCTCAGCACAATCTTCTTTGTAGCTGTAGCCTTTTTGTGGAAAATTGGCTTAGTCTGCCCACCATAGCCACTCTGCTTCCTGTTATAATGCCAATGTCCCTGCACATCCAGAGAATCCTTGCCTTCTGTACTGTTACTTTGTAGGTGGGGTAGGTGCTTGCCACACTTCTTATGGGAAGTCTGGTGGGTTTTAGGAACGTTCACCATGTTTGCGAAAGCACTATTGGCACAGAAACTGTTTGTGGATTCTCATGTAATCCTCAAACCAACCCATGGAAGTGACTGCTATTATCCTTATTTTATACCTGTGGAAAGTGAGGCATTTGTTTAGATTGAACAGGTTAGTAAGTGGGAGAGGCAGGATGACAACCAGGTTCTTACCTGGTTTTCTGTACTGCCCTCTGCAGGTAAAGCTCCTATCTTGCTCCAGCAGGGGTGTCTGACCTGTGGCCCACAGGCCACATGTGTCCTAGAATGGCTAAGAATGCGGCCCAACACAAAATCATAAATTTAGTTAAAACTTTTTTTCGCTAAGCAGTTTTCATTAGTGTTTGTGTATTTAATGTGTGGCCCAAGACAACTCTTCTTCTCCCAGTGTGGCCCAGAGATGCCAAAGGGTTGGACACCCCTGCAAACATTTAGTCTAAAAATACAACGTAAAAAGATATTTATTATTGAGCACTTTGGATTGCTCTTAGAAATATAATTATAAATATGCTCCTGGAGAGACCTAATTATTTCATACTTACATTTCATTAGTCAAAGAGTGCAATGTGTTGAGATGTTAAAAAAACTCATATAAATTTCAAGCTTATATTTTATAACTTAGATTATTTTCTCTTTCCCTTGAAATTAATAAGCTACCTCACTACATGTAATTATAACTCATATTATTTGGAGAGTAGACTGAATCCTGAGTTTTTAAATAGGTCTCTCTCTTGGGTGTTATGAGGATTAATGCCTGTTAGCTAAAGCGTGTATGTGCCTTGAGCTCTCCGGAGGAATAAGGCCATGTTATTGTGAAGTAATGCTAAGTGAGTCATTCTGTTTGCAATGAATTAGCAAAAATGTGGCCAGGTTAGCTGTAGAATCTATGTGGATAGTTCCCAAGATTTTTTCATCCATTGAAGCTGCTTTTTACTTAAAAAATATAGTAAATTAAAAAATATGTCCTATTGAGGTTGTAATGCACACCCAGCCTAGTGCCTTTGGCACACTGTCTGATGCAGCTCGTGGATATTTGCTCTCCTGGGAGGCAATAGAGTTTAAAATATTCTTCTTTTTTTTTAAAATATTTTTCTCACTTTTTTTTAAAATATATTTTTAAGGACTTTATTTATTTATTTTTAGAGAGGGAAGGGAGGGAGAAAGAGAGAGAGAGAGAAACATCAATAACATCAATGTGCGGTCGCTGGGGGTCATGGCCTGCAACCCAGGCATGCACCCTGACTGGGAATCGAACCTGTGACACTTTGGTTCGCAGCCCGCGCTCAATCCACTGAGCTACGCCAGCCAGAGCAAGTTTAAAATATTCTTTAAAAAAGAGTCTTATAATTACTCTGATCTTAGAAAGACATACTAATTTTATAATCTTTTACATTAAAAAATTGGTTGATATAAAATTATAGAGCATGAACACTTACTTTCCTTTAATTTGCCTTCTGTCTTTGTGATAGGTTCGGGCTGCTAACCTTAGTGGAGACTGCTCTCTTGTAAATGAAATATTCAGGTTGCATTTTGGACTAAAACAACACCATCAGGTAAAAACTAACATGAACTTGGTTACCTTCCAGAGTGTTAGGAGTGGAAATAATGAATAAAGAAGTGAGAAGTACATTTAGTATTTGAAATTTGAAAGAACTACTCATATGAAAAGAACACAAATTATTTTTTGTGTTTTTATTATTTTTTAAAATTATATTTTATTGATTATACTATTACAGTTGTTCCATTTTTCCCCCCTTTTCCCTCTCCACCCAGCACCCCCCACTCCCTCTGGCAATCCCTACGCCATTGTTCATGTCCACATGTCATGTGTAAAACTTCTTTAGTTACTTCATTTCCTGTACTGTACTTTATATCCCCATGGTAATTCTGTAACTTCCTATTTGTACTTCTTAATCCTCTCACCTCTTCACAGCACCCCCCACACCCACCTCCCATTTGGAAACCATCAAAATGCTCTCTGTGTCCATGATTGTGTCTCTGTTCTTTCTTGTTTGCTTAGTTTGTCTTTTAGATTCAATCCTGATAGATATGTATTTTTGCCATTTTATTGTTCATAGTTTTGACCTTCTTCTTTTTCTTAAATAAGTCCCTTTAGCATTTCATATAATAATGTTTTGGTGGTAATGAACTCCTTTAGCTTTTTCTTGTCTGTGAAGCTCTTTATGGGCCCTTTGATTCTAACTGATAGCTTTGCTGGGTACAGCAATTGTGACTGTAGGTCACTGCTTTTCATGACTTTGAATATGTCTTGCCAATACCTTCTAGCCTATAGTTTCTTTTGAGAAATCAGCTCCTTCTAGCCTAATACCTTCTAGCCTAAAAGTTTCTTTTGAGAAATCAGCTCACAGTCTTATGAGAACTCCCCTGTAGGTAACTAACTGCTTTTCCTTTGCTGCTTTTAAGATTCTCTCTTTACCTTTAACCTTTGGCATTTTAATTATGACAAGTCTTGGAGTGGGTCTCTTTGGATCCATCTTGTGATTCTCTGTGAGTCCTGGACTTTCATGTCTATTCCCTTCAACAAATTAGTGAAGTTTTCTTCCACTATTTTTTCAAATAGATTTCCAATTTCTTGCTCTTTCTCTCCTCCTTCTGGTGCCCCTATGATGCAAATGTTGTAATACTTAAAGCTCTGCCACAGGCTTCTCACACTATCCTTGTTTTTTTTGGATTCTTTTTCTTGTTCTGATTGGTTGTTTTTTGATTGCTTATGTTCCAAATCATTGATTTGATTCTTGGTTTCATCCACTCTACTGTTGTTTCCTTGTAAGTTGTTCTTTATTTTAATTAGTGTCTGCTTCATTTCCGACTGGGTCTTTTTTATGCTGTTGAGGTCCTCACTAAGTTCCTTGAGCATCCTTATAAACAGTGTTTTGAACTCTGGATCTGATAGATTGTTTATCTCCATTTCATTTAGTCTTTTCCTTTAGTTTTGATCTGTTCTTTCACTTGAACCATGTTCCTTTGTCCCCTTGTTTTGGTAGCCTCCCTATGTTTGTTTTTATGTCTTAGACAGAGCTGCTTTGACTACCTGTCTTGGTAGTGTGGCCTAATGTAGAAGGTGTCCTGTAGGGTCTAGTGGCACACAGCCTCTTCTATCATCCAAGCTGGGTACTTGAGGTACACCCTTCGTGTGGGCTGAGTGCACCCTTCATGTAAGGCTAATTATATTCTCCTCTTGTGGTTGAGCCTTGGTTGCTGTTGGAAGGTCAATAGGAGGTATTTACCCAGGTCAGTCAGCTGCAAGGACTGGCTGTGACCACTGACCACCAACCTCTGCCCTCCATGGAGGATCAGCTCTGCAGGGGCAGGGTGGTGGTGCTCCGATGTGGTCTATAGCTGTCCACTGGGTGTGCAGGCCCTGGGGTTTCCCTAGTGGTGCAGGCCAAGGTCAGCCCTCGTCTGTGTTTTGCCTAGTGCCACTCTGCCTGAGCTGTAAAGCAATTTGAGATGGCGGCCACTGTGCTGGGCTAGGAGATTTTCAGATGAAGCCAAGCTGTGAATCTAGGCCGGCTGCTGCTAACACCATGCCTGGGGCCACTTAGCAAGAGGTGCAGGGGCTGTGGTTTGTTTGAAAGGATTCAGGAAGTTGTGCAGCGTGAGCCAAGACCAGCCATTCATATGGAAAAGCCACTGGTAACAGCTCTAAGGTGGGATGGAGTGTCAGGGGATCTTCTGGGTGGGACAAGTAGCGTTAGCCAGGTTGATGGAATCTCAGAAATGCATTAGACTTCCTGCTTTGTGGCTCTGTGGGAGGAGGGTTCAGAAAAGGGACAATGGCCTCTGTCCACCTTTCTTTCTGTCCCCCAGCTTTTGCCTTGATGCCAGATACCTCAGTTCCTGTGTGCCACTGGTACCTTTCAAGCTGCCACCCTGATGCTGGAGCTCAGAGAGTGTGAGTCTGAGTAAGACCATGTGTAAGAGGGATTGCTTGGGACCTTAGCTGTTTCTTCCACTTATTCAATCCCTGCTGATTTCTGCAGCCAGAGTTATAGGGACTTGTCTTCCTGGCTCTGGAACCCTGAGCTGGGGGCCCTGGTTTGAGACTGGAACTCCTCACTTTTAAGATTTCCCTCCCTATTTTTTATCCATCACACATGGATGTGAGACTAGTCTGTTCTATGTGTCTTCTCCTTCCAGCTGTCTGGATAGATGTGGTTTCTTTAATTCTGTAGTTGTCAGATTTCCATTCAACTTGATTTTGACGGTTCTGAGTGATGGTTGTTCCATCCATATTTTAGTTGTAATTTTGATGTGGTTGTATGCGGAGGCGAGCCATGTTTATCTATGCTGCCATCTTGACTGGCAGTCAATAATATAAATATTAAGCCAAATAGAATTTAGTTCTGTTTTAAAATATGTTCCATAATTTAAGAGTTATGTTTCTTCTTTGGAATGACTGAATAAAATAACAGGAACTGAGTTTTGATTATGGTTCAGACACTATGTAAAATGTTATTATTTCATGATTAAATTTTCATGTAAACTTAAGGCACATACTTTTTTCCCCTTAGACTTGTGTGAGAGACAGAGCCATCCTTTCTATCCTGGCTGTTAGGAATATCAGCAAAGAAGTAGCTGAAAAAGCTGTTGATGATGTTTTTGAATCTTGTTTCAATGACCATGAACCTTTTGGAAGGATCCCACATAACAAGACTTATGCAAAATATGCTTATAGAGACTTTCAAAACCGTGATCGGTATTACTCAAATATATGAAGACAATGACATTTTATGTTACAGAGCTTCAGTGATCATGGAGAAAATATGGTTCTCAAATGCACAAATATATGAAACAAACAATAAATTAAATACAGATAAAACAAAAGATGCTGATTCTAGCGTATGATAAAAAGAAGTGGTGAAAAATGAAACTGCCTTAAATTCCAAGGCAAAAATTGTATAGTTAGCATTTGGTAAGTAAGGCAAATAAAATTACATTTTGGTATTTTCTACGTTGTACTTGTGTTTTTTATTATT